TGGGGCAGAATGCATCAGAAGACCAAGTTAAAAAGTGGCTCTTACCATTCCACAAAAGTAATCTTCACTACACCAGGACATCTCTCTCTCTCTCTCTCTCCTTTATATATAATCACTACTAAACAACATGAAGGCCACAGAGTTTGTCACCAGGGATTTTTAAGATATATGCATAAAAGCATAGTTTCGCAGAAAGTTATATACATCAAGCAATCTATATAAACAAATGACAAACTTTTCCAATGCTAAAAAAATCTCAATACATGGAAATAAGGAAATAAAAAATTCCATGAAAAAAAAGGATAACAGCATTCTTTTCCCCATCTAAAACAATTTCATTTCAGTGTTTTAAAACATGCATGAAATAATCCTGTTGTGTTCGAGCTATCATTTTGAAAACATACCGGTTGTTTTTCTAAAATGACTTTTTCCAGTTCATCTTGAATGGTACTGTTTTCCATCCAGCTGTTCATGGACAAGTTATTAGTCCCATCATTTTGAAGCAAACTCATGGCATCCTCCAGGAAGAGAGGCTACAGACAAAAGCAATTCAACATATGTAATTAAAAAGAACTATACTGTTTCATTACTTAGCTAACATTTTTTTGTCAAATATATGACATAAAAATGATTACAAGGAATTTTGAGTAGCACTTGTTCATTTGCAATAACAAGAATACATAAAAGTGTATCTGCTTACAGTCTCAGTGGTGTTTTCATTGGTCTGTGTTTCTGTGGTGCTAGGTCCAGAACTTTCAGTCTGCTCTGCAGGGGGCAGAGGCAATAACTCCCCTAGGTGATGAAAAAACACCCCAATTAGGTAAGCATTACATATTGAACCCAATTATCTTATTCCATACATAAAATGGTGCATTTACTTATTTTACTCAGTGTAACACAAAGTGACAAGATGCTGTGGATAATACTGTAGCTTTTGCTTCACAGTTCAATCCTTCTGTGCAATCCTGAATATTTCTACTTACACAAAAGAATACACTGAAATAAATCCCCTTTTCTTTACCTGTTTCTCCATCAATGATATAATTTGTGAGATCTTCCCATGCGTCTTTCTCCTCTTTTTCTTGCTTCACTGTCTCCTCATCTAGTTCTCGTTCCTAAACAATACATCATTACTGTGTCATAGTGAAATATTTCAAAGTGATTGTAAGATCAGATCCATACAGTTTATCCAGTATCTAATTTGTGAGTGTGCTGATTCTATGTTATAACACAATAATAACAAGCAAACCATTTGCATTTTGATCACTAGCAGATACAAAATATTGAAAATAAACAATGCCACGGATAATCTTTTTTATGCTTAACAGGATACAAACAGAACCATATATCTTGAAAGATAATTACAGGCGGTTTTAAAAGCCTTCAGAGACAGGATGTCCTGTTTCTTTTTTTTTTTTAATTCTATAATTCATTTCCATTTACTCTGGCTCATAACATAAATTTTCAATTTAATGCACCATAACTTTTCACTGACTTACGTTTTTTCTTACTTTCCTTTGCACTGAATAAACTTTCTATCTGACATTTAGAAAATCCCTTTTAACTTTTTATCCTTTTACTTAAGTTATCTTCCCAATTTTTTTGACAATATATGTAATGTCAGGTAACAAAAAGCCACTGATACAAAAAATCTTACAACTGCTAAAAAAAGTATGAGCAAATCAATTGGCCAAACACCTCAGACGCACTGCAGTACCTTTTGTTGCTGCTTCTGTAGTTCCACTTCCCTTTCTTTCTCTAGTTCCAGTCTCTGGTTAGGATCAAACATCTCTCTGGCAACTCCCATGTCCAGGTCCTGCCGCCACAGTATGTCTATGAGATCCATATCCTGAAATCACACAAAAAATGAAAAAAATAAATAAAATGGAAAAAAATATATCCTGACAAATATCAGAGATAATGCAAATTAAATTTTGTTACAACATCTTGTGGTTTTCCTTACCAACATGGTTCCAAGAAACTGACAAATAAAAACAATGCAGAAATCCTGAGAGATATGGACAGGTCACGATTGTATAAATTACATGCACAGGCATGAATACACATATTACCCATGTAGTAATGTAAATGTAGTCATTGTATAATTCATAATTTTCTAATAACTCAGTTTCTGGCAAATGGCATTGTGAGATCCAGTTTAAACATTTCCTTATCATTTTTCCTTATTCACACGTTCACTGACTTGCCTCAACCAAAGTCAGGTAAAAAAAAGCAAGTAACAACTGTTGAGATCCTCTCTAATAACACAAAAGCCCCACATATCTTTAAACCATAACATCAATAAAAAGACAAACCTGAAGTTTAAAACCAATATCTTTTTTGTATTCTTCAGTATAACTGGTTGTTTTCTTTCTCATAGACGTCTGGCTGTAAAGACTGCTGACATATCCAAACTGGTCAATGTTTTCAGGGTAGCGAGGATCAAAGATACAGTCATACATTGTGAAAAAAACTTTTTTAACTTTAACTGAACAGACTTGGAATTTTCAAAACCAAATGAAGACTTCAGTTTTCAGTCCAGTCCTCTTCTGAGTTCTATGTTCTTGACTCATAACAAACAAAAACAAAAAAATCTCTTGTAATTGCCTCCTTTAAAAATAAGAGTGCCAGCATGGCAATAATTAAAACCTTCCTACAGTATAAACTTCCAAAATCCTGTTTCAACAACTTCCCACTTAAATTTGCATAGGAAAGTTGGTCAAGTGTGGCTGTGGTAAGTCATGCAGCAGTGTTATGGCCATAAGCACCAAAAACTGTCCGCCTTAATGTGTCTTATATCCCAGGTAGTATAAGGAATGTCCCATTATCTCTTGTCAGCAGCTTTTAAGTTAGATCACATGAGATGTTGACACAGTTAAATGACCCAGTCCTCCAGCATCAATAGACCCTATACACATTCAATTTTCCACAGCAATCTTTATCACGAACTAAGGGTTGAATATCACATAAGTCTTGAGAGGGCACATGTACCACTACCAATGTGTTCCTGGTTCAGGATCCTTTTACTTCCCAATATGGAAAAAGAACACTGACCAATTCTTCAAATCCCCTGGACTAAGACATGTGACTCACACTAACCACACGCACCTTCCTGTTACAGGGGTTAGTTAATCACTATAAAACCACCTTCACCCTGTTTCAATAATCAGTTAGTTATGCCTTCGGTGTGCAAATATAGAGAAGGCAGACCAATAAACCATGAAATTATATTCTGAAATTATAGATATTATCAATGTCCATTTTATCATGTACCCTTGATGTCTAAAGGCAGAACATTGGGCATAATGCTCCTATTGACCGATTATCTCCAAACAGCCACCCAATGAAGTTCATAAACAGTAAAGGGACAATTGAATTTTATCATTTGGATTACACATGACAGCTGGTAGCATATGTTTGCAGATATGATATCAGAATCCACATGATCATTTATCAAGAATCATTTACAGAAACAAAAACTAGATACTGAATTGTTTCAAGTTGGACCTGTTGCCCCAAAATAGTATTTTACACTAAAATCTAAATTGATGGTGGTCCAACTAACATGAGAGGCAAGGCTTATGCTTCAGACCTATTTACAGACTACCAAAAGTATATATCTTGACCTGAAGGGGTTTGGGGTCTTAAAGCCTCCAAAGACCCCTTTGGTGCTTTAACAAATTTATGAAGGCAACCTTTGGTGCCTTAATAAATGTGAAGATTCTAGGTGCTCTGTTGTCTAGTTTTGTCCAGCTCAATACAGTTATTTATGATGCAAGCAGGTGCTGCCTCCCGAGTCCTGACACAACCACACTACAAATGTTCAGTTTCATAAACATTGGCTTAATCAAAACTTAATTCTGTTCATTAATAAATTTGTTTCTTTCATATCTTATACAAAAGTTGAACAGAGCATATGGCTTATAACCATGTACATTGTAAAAACTTATAAGTGATATCAAATAACACCTGATACACATACTGAATATGTGGAATTGCTGAAAAGGGGAGGGGTATCAAATACCAGGTGCAAATAATCAGCTACCTGATCTTGGACAGTAAGTATGACGTCTTGAGCCAAGTACTATGTGACACACATTTTTTTCTTTACATAACTGACTTATACAGCGAAGCTGAAAGCAGCTACAACTTTTTAGTCACCTTAGACAAATTGCAACAATTGTCAGCTAAGATTGAATGCTTTCAAATACTATTTAATATACGTCATATACAGTGTACTGAGTATATAATTGCAGCTTCTTCTTATTAGTTGGCAGTGCATACACTTTGTCATCTTCCAAATGAAAACAAATGATCATATGCTGTATCCATTAATTATATTGATTTGTACTTTTATCAACTAATGTGAACATATAAAATTTAATTTTGCAATGGGCACAGCATATCATTATTTTACTTGTCTATGCCAAATACTTTTTAACTAAGAGGTCATCTGGGCCACCCAACCTGGGCATCAACTGGCATGAAAATTCACTGACCCAAATTCAATTTTCTAAAAAAAGTAATTCCAGTTCCTTTCCAAAGGGAAATGTTGATTTTGTGCCCACAAAACCTGATTCACTTCCAAATAAACATTTACATTAAATCATGTAAACTGTTAAAATAACAATATGATTTCACTACACATAAAGGGTAGTACGTCATGGTTAAAATTGTATTGAATAGTAGTCACATTGGGAAATCAAGTGGAAGTAAATGATTCATATTCTGCATTGTGATCAGTTTTGAAAACGCTATTTACCAGCAGGGACCTCATCACGATTCCTTGCAGGAAATGACACTTCTTTAAACGACAATAAAATTTCTATAATAATGAAACACGTAAAGAGACAAATAAGTTAACATATAACTTATCTAAACAGTCACCCTCATCCTGTGTGGTGACATTGTTGTGCTGGAAGAGTTGAGATTGAAGAAAATTTAAAATCTGGGAGCACTATGTGCTCTCTAACACAATCAGATGAAAGACAACAAACACAATAATCAGCACTGCTTCCTATTCACAGTAGACCATACTGTATGAATGCATTTAGGCTGTGTTCAGAATAGAAGTTATGGTACTAGCAGGATTGATATATCTCAACAGGGATTCTCAATAAGACACAGTCAATGTAATCAGCTTAGTGAGCTTAATTGTCTAGCATACCCCCTTGTAACTTAAAAGACTTGGATAAAGTCTGGAAAAGTTTGTGGTCCATGATGTAGTTTATCTTGCTTTCAAGTTTGTGAGGGGTGTGTCAGACAATAAAACTGATTACACTGACTGTGCCTAGGGAGAATCCCCACTGACTCTGATCAATCTTGCCAATACAATAATTTCTATTCTAAGTCTAGATCTGGTATTTTTCCCAACAGCATTAAATTCAAATCAAATGTGAAATAGTGACTATTTGAAGCTTCTGCTTCTAACAAAGCAAAGTAGTATCAGTTGCTAGCGTATGAGCATCATATTACTGTAAGTTCAATATTACTGTGAGCTGAGAAATAATAAGCCCCATGTCACCAGTTTTTCTTTGTGTAAAACTAAGACTGGGTTCCCTGGGGAGTCTCACTAAATTGCTATCAACTTACCATCTTAAATGTCTGTCAGGCCTACGGAATCGGCTAGGATGTAAAGATAATTACCCTATAACAGCTTCGCTAGGCGTGACAGACATTTAAGCCAGTTAGGATGATAGCAATTTAGTGAGACTCCCCGGGGAGATAGATCGATCCAAATATCTGTGGGAATGGTCCCTTAGCCTCTATTTCTTTTTAAAGAAACACTGCCCTTATCTAATGTAAGAGATACAAGGATAAACGTCCTTGCGTTAAGATCACATGACAACCAATGGTAGGTTATACCAAGTGCAAAGAACACAAGGTTGTGCAACTGATGTCAAATTAACCCTTCACAATAACAAAAGGTGATAGTTTATCATACTGAGCTGTGAATTCGAAGGACCTCAACACCTGGTTCAGACTGATGTGTTGTGTGACAACTCACCACAACCTACTATTAATTCATTTCATGAACAGTTAGCAATGCTCGCACTATATTCTCCTGCTTTTAGTAAATTTATAATAATAATAATAATAGTAATAATAATAATAATAAAGTGCACATGTTGATTTTTCCTAAGTTAAAAGTAAAGGGTCTGATAAAAGTGTACCCAATAAATTCACCCTGAAGGACAGTATTATTAGTATCTTCCTTTTCCTGCTAAAAGGTTATTTCAGGATTATAATAATTCTTCCATGTTAATTCAAAGCTTCAGAAGAATGATGTAATCTTTTTTAAGTCGGTGGTTGCATAGCTTGAACATCCATCAAACAACAAAAGGTCCACACAACAATTTCAGAGAGCAGCACCATACAGACAGAAAGGCAAACCTGTGAATCAGGATCTAAAAATAACATATGACATATCAGGGATTTCCCAAGGTAGGGCTTCTCAGCAGAAATCAAAAATGGTCTTGAAATTATTTTAGTCATTTAGTTGTTATTTTTAAGATAATATCAAAAACACTGTGAAACAACTGTTGAACTCTACAATAACGAAGTTGGTTTTATGTTCTCAAATTATTATGCTAAATCAAAATGTTTAACTTACAGATATTCATTATGTTTTGATCCAATAATTTAGTTAGAATCACCCTTTAAGATATCGACAAAAAGTATTTTCAAATTTGATCGGGCTAGCAGACTACCAATGGCAGCTAAAGCTCTCAAATTTTGCACATAGATACAATATCATATACTAGTAAATAATTAACATACTAAATTTCAGTCGCAAACTGTTGTTTAGAATTTGTAATACAACATTTCGCGTTTGGTGCAATTTGTAACCCTTACACCTACAAGATCTTGACAAAATACTGAAATGAATTGTGGCATTATTCATTGTAGAAGAGGTGGATAATTTTCCAATGAAGACTTGACAGCTTATGCAAATGCTTGGAACCCTGAAGATGATAACAGAATTAAAACTTAAACTGCATAATTAGAAGAATGAAATTGTGCACTTCTGAATTTGAATTGTCAGTGAAAACAAAGTGTGCTGCAGACCTACTTTACATTGAAATACTTTGCCCACTGGTATACGGCACCAATATATCGTACACAAGCAGATAAATTCTGGGATCAATACTTAGTATCAGACACTTTGATTTACTTTACAATACAGTGTTTGCACTAGGCTTGCCAGGAAAAATAGCAAAAAAAGCTCATATTTTGTGCTTTTGCCAATTACTTGAAGGATGAATCTACACACCATCTTAAATAATCTAAAAGCACCCTGTTGGAAAATGCTCTTCCTGAATGTAATTCTTTACAGGTGCTAAAAAAAATGAAAGAAAAACAGAAAATAAAACAAAAGTAATACTTTTTCAAAAAAAAAAAAAAAAAAAATCCTGCACCATTTTAAAATTTTATTACATATGCCAGATATCTGTACCTCTTTGGAAAGTTCATCTCCTGTTGATCCTGCTAGGTCTAACTGCACAGCACCTCCCTCCTGAAATTCTCCATGTGTTGTTGCTTGTGCTGGTTCGATAATATCAATGTTAGGAGATGTCTGATTTTGTGTATTTGAACCATTAATTTGTAACCCTTGTGCACTACCCTGTTGTGGAACATTTTGCAGAGATTGTTCTTCTCCTAAATTTGGCTGCTGTACATCAACCAAGTAAGCGGATATTATTGTGTTATATGTATTATAAATGTCATTGCCTGAATAGAGATCGCTGAGAATAGAATTTAATAAATTATCATTATCATTTGATAAACCTTTAGGGTGGAATTGTCCCACTGTATATCCTTGCTGCCAAGGTATGTTGTGAAACTGAGTTTGTGTATATGCCAGGCTATTCCCAAGAATGATTTCCTGGACTTCAGGATAATTACCATAGTCAGAGTTCAGGTAACTATCCAAATCAATCCTCAATAAACTGAGCAATATAGCTATCTGCACCAAACTGTCTGTAAACACTTTTTTCAACATATTGATGATGTTCTTGTCAAGTCTGTATGTTTATACAAAAATGTTAGGTCCACTTAGCCTGGGAATGTTCCACCTCAAAAATGTAAACAAAGGAAGAAGGTCCGTCCTGTCCCTTAGAGACAAAGGCAACACTCAAACAAAGGAAAATCTCATTGTCAACCTTACTCCATTTCGACTTATTCGTATGTAATAATCAACTGTAAATGAATGCTTTCCGATCAAAACAAACCCTTAAAGGCGGAGGCGATTATTAGAACATTCTTCATTGTTCTATGTTACTAGTCATCACGTTTTCGGAGCCAAGTCTTGCAGACGAGAATGAGACCCTCTCTCTCTTTCAATTGTCTCGTGGGCTGTCAGTCCAAAAATTACGCTGATATTACCAACCGTAGCGAAATGATTGTATAATAAGACTTAAACACTATTGATCAGATATAACTGTGTCCTTTTTTCTTGATTTTTTCAAAACAAACAAAAAGAGTGATTCAGCAGATCTCCAGTCCCAGGAAGTGAAGTGACGTCACACGCATGTGCACCTCTTGTGGTATGTCACAACTGCGATTGCGCAATGTGAACTTCCTGTGACCCAAATAGTTCGAGGTGGCCTGAGTCGCCCCAGTTTCTGACCCCGATTTCTGATACTCTGGCAAACATTACTAATTATGTAACCAACTGACAAGAAATATTGCCCTGTCCATACATTACAACAAAGAAAATCAACAGACACGCTTTCACTGTTACGTTTAGATATATTAATAATCGGAAAAGCAAATAACGTTAGCATTTCGCAATAACGTTGGGTTTCATTCCCAGTCACAGCTAGATGCGTTAACTTTCTCAAACTTCCGCGCCCACATCATTAGCCGTCATGTGCTCATTTAAAACCACAAATGACATACGAAATATAAATCTACTCACCACGTCTATTTTGTGGTTTAGATTGATGCAATTTTCTAACTTGACCAATACCATTTCGAAGTCTTGTCTTTGATGTAACTCCTCACGGTTTTTCTGGATGTCACGTTGCGGTTTTATCGTATTCCCTTAGTTCAGAAAGCCTTGAAGTTTTTAGCACCAATGTCAACTGTCCTGCTCTTCTGTTGATGTTTTTATTTCCACTTTATTCGGTCCGGATGAGCCCTACTGCCCCTCCACTTGGGCGCCTACTTATTTTCCCACTGGGCTTATTGTTTACTAATATTCAATAGAGCGCCGTCTTTTGGTACACCATGAAACTAATTCCCTACACCAGCCCCATCTATATCAGTAGAACTCTTTCCAAGGTAAAGGACATTGGGCCACGCACACTTTCACCTATGCCATCCGGACTGATGAAATACAGCTGATTGTTGTAATATTGTGAGAGATCAGGAGAGAAAATGAAGCTTATAAGTGATGCAGGGAATATCCACACGCTGAAAATAGCGATCGCTTCGGAATTGACTGGGACCCATCTGCAGTATGAGGAAGTGAAACACGATGGTGAGAATGATTGAGATGGTTTGTCCTTTTTTTTTCTGTTACCGGTGGTAATATTCTTTGTTTTCTCTTTCACCTACTTTATTACTATATAGCAGTTATCTTACTGTGGTTACTGAAATGGTGAAAATTAACTATATTCGATCCAACAAATTCTCATTACCAGTAGTTTACTGTATTTTTTATTATGGAGATAACTGAATGGTTTTGATCAGCCACTGTTCTTGTAATTGCAACTGCTAGTTATTATTTGATTTATTGAATGATGCTACAGCTGTATAATTAAGACACTTATCTTAGGTAAGATATGATTATATAGGTTTACAGTTTCCAAGAACACCAGCACATACATGTATGTTGTTGTTAAAATTATAAGTGCTCAATTAACGTAACTGTGAAGCTTAATAGTAGTTCTCATTTTCTTATTTTTTTGGCACCTTAAGAATATTATCTTATGTATATCCTATATGTATTTGGGGTCTAGCAATATGCAGTCCTTTCTTATTCAGAATAAACCAGACAGTATCATATATAAATTTAATGCTTTTTAATGATAAGCCAACTGTCTTTAAGTTCAACTTGCTGGTTCATCTGGCTTGCAAACCTTCTTGATCTTGATATGTTTCTTTCTAACTGCAGAGAAAGTGGCAGGAGCTCTGACCCAGAATAAGCTGCCAATACTGGAGGTAGATACGGGATTGACATTGTTCTCAGCTAATGCAGCATGCAGGTTTGTTGTCCAGAATCTATGGTAATAACTCGATCTTTTCAAAAGGGAAAATTGTGAATTTTATGAAAAATGTATTATTTAAGTCATACATTCATAAAATTAGAACTTTCTTGTTAAGTGACAGCAACAAAATTAAAAAGCAGACCACCTTATCATTCTATTCTATTTAGTGAGAGCACCACAAATGCTACATGTTACAGTACATAAAATTAATATATTATTAATGGTTCCACAATTATGTACTTGTATCTGAAAGATTGATAATTTGTCCCCATTGAAAAGATTACAATATAACAATGGTAATACTTGCAGATTGGTAATCTTTATATGTTTATTCACTAAATACCTGTTAAAAGTTGAGAGTACACAATCAGCCAATTAAATGTGAAATCCAAATATTAAAAAATCCAAGTTATTATTTGGTCTGCCTTTTAGATATATACTGTGCAAGGCTGGTCAAGATGTGGACAGCCTGATGGTTGACCAGTGGCTGGAGTGGGAGGCTGCAGAATTACAGGTACTAACCCAAGCTCTGACCATGTATGCACATACCCATGCATGCATTTACTAATAGATTTTCAATTTTGTTATTCTTTCACTAAAGGCAGAATCTACAGACGGTGTGAAAAACAATTAAATGTTTGGTTTTAAAAAAGATAATTTACCTATGGACATATAAGTAAAAAAAACATATGTTAACCCAGCTCTATCACACTGATAATTGTTTTTTTTTTTCATCAACCCAGCCTGTACTTTGGCCGTACTTGGTAAGCTCAGTGGGCCAAGGCAAGGTGGAGTCTAAGCAGGTCCAGGCTGTGAAAGGGCTCTTAGCTCATCTGGATGATGCACTGCATTTAAAGGAACTAATAGTGAGGGTAAGTTCCTTACAGTGGACAGTCTCTGTGATGCCCAGTCTTGTCCAGTTGGACTAGTTTTATTATTCAGGCATGTAATATTTTCTTGACGTCTTAATGAGTAGAGGGTATTTCAAATATGAAATTTACTTTATTTTGTGAAGGCAATGACTCAGAGGTGTTTTTGCAACATTTACACAATGAGTAAAAATCAAGCAGTAGAAATATCAAATGTTGACTTGATGTATTTTCAGGACCAAATCAGTGCTGCAGACATTGTCTTATGGTCTGCACTCTTTCCAGCTTTCTTTGACATTGCAGCTCTCCAGGGTGAGGACACAGTATATACATACACAGAATATTTACAAATTGTTTCAGTTTAAATAGTCATATTAAAATGCCAAATATATTTCATTTGTGTGGTTGCATCTGAAAATCGGCTTGATTGGTTCAAACTAGTTTTTATTAAGCATCTTTATATTTAGCAGCTTTTATGTCTTCTTACCTCTTAATAAACTTTTATATACTTCATCCATGTTTTTTATCTTTCTAATTAATTTACATTTTAGATAACATTCATTTAATTGCACTGCAAATATATAATTTATAAATATATATATATATAAATTGTTGTTTTTAAAGATATGAAAATGTGTTTGTTTTTTTTCCCCCAAATTTTATGCCAGATTGGTCTTCCCAGTACCTGAATATCTCCCGGTGGTTCAACAAGTTATCTCAGCACCCAGCCTTTCAGAAGGGGTTCACCATGGTCACCAGTGGAAAAGGGGTCTCCGCCTTCAAAGTGAGTGACTAGACATTTTTTAATTGAAGAGGATTTAGAAATGCTGACATTTAATTTTTCCTTTTTTTGTATTTTTTTACCTTTAGGTGGGCTGAAAATAAACAATGTTAGCATTTTGGTAGAGTTCTGTATATAGGTAACTATTGATGGTGAAATACAAGTAAACATTATCCACTTTTTAGTTTTCTCCTGCCTTTGTTTTAAAAAAGATGATAGCTGAAATGAGCAGAACGTTTGCTGTTGTATTTTCTCAGGCATCCCTGCTAGCTCAACCTGTACCACTACCTGCGATATGGGACACCAAGAAACTGAAGATGACGTTGACAGGCTCTGGAGACAAGGAGAAGACAGAGGTATGGTGTAACTCTTAAACCATAACAATGAATACCTTTAATTATTGACATTACCCTTATTTTTAAGATGCAATCATTGCAGTTATGTATAACTTAAAGCTAAAAACTAGAGACAAACACAAGTAAGACAGAAAACACTGGCATGAGCAGGGGCGGATCCAGAGATATTTTCTGACAGTCTTCCAAATTATCTTTGTTGATCCATCTTCCATTTTTGACCGTCTTCCGACAGAGAACATTAGATGGCTGAAATGTAAACTTGAAAATCTGACCGTCTTCCAGAAGACCCAGAAGACGGCCTAAATCTGCCCCTGCATGAGGCCTGTTAGTTGATACATATGTTGAATTGCGTACATGACAACCTCGGACGTTCTCTCTGGGAAAGTCAGCCAAGTTGTCTATTTAAATGTTGTTAATTTTAGTAAGATTTGACATTAAAATGATAAAATTGGATGGTATAAGAGAATTGATTGATGAGAATTTGAACTAGTCTGAGAAAAGTGAGATTTTCCTGGTTGATTATTATTATTTAAGGAATTTGGAAGTAGGTTAAAGTAATCTAATTCCACTTGTTGAAAGTTCAGTAAAGTTTAACATGAGATATGAAATAGCAAGGGTTAAGCCAAATTACATGTGTACAGTGATGATTGTTTGGACACTTTTGTACGTAATTATAATGATTTTTGCATTGTGATACTGTATGCTTCAGCCTCCAAGTGAGGAGAAGTCAGTATCTGTCACAGCAGAGGAGACAAAAGCTGCAGTGGCAGCATGGAAACAAATGACAACGCCCACTCCAGTGCAAAGAACACATCCAATGTAAGTACAATAATAAATCCCCATAGATTTAAAATACCTTCCAGTAATTTATTTCAGCAAGGTCTTTTTTTTTTCAGTTACTACAAAAATAATACCTTCTGAAATGAATGCTGCATTGCAATTTTTTCTGTAGAATTTTTATTAATCTTTTCCATGTATTGTTTGCATATCACACAAAGAAATATTTCGCATTAATTTTAAATGAATAAAGTTGGGAATAATCATATTGAATTTGTGTGTAATACTATGTTAACCTTTTAGGAAATAATTAGGTATGACGACATCCACACTTGTTTTATAGTTTAGGGCAACATTTTTTTTGCAACCAATTTTTATAGGATAATCTTATTTTTTACTTGAATATTTAAGTTAAGTTTTGAAAATTACTTAATGTTTTATTATTTTTATACATGCCATCTTATGCAGGCATAAAAGGGTAAATTTTGCCCATGGAATTTTAAAAATAATCTTTATATGAAAGACATTCAGTATGTAGAGATTATTTGAATACTTAAAACTGGTTGGTTGCCATTGACATATGCCCATAATTTTTAGACAGCTGGTCCTTCAGACTATTAGACTGTAAGAAGCCACTGGCACAAAGCAGAAACAGTGGCCAGCTGTACCAGAAACAAGTTTACAATTGGCCCAGGTTTGAGTTTACTGGCATTTGGCATAGGACCTGTTTTAAAATTGCAGACTCTGATGTGGATTAAATGTTGTTTTGAAGTACACCTAATGCCTGTAAGATGTCCAAATGAACCTGTGACTTGAGATAACATTATTTACTTTTAGATTACCTCAGGAAGGCAAACGTAATATCCTTATCACGAGTGCACTGCCGTATGTGAACAATGTCCCCCATCTTGGAAACATCATTGGCTGTGTGCTGAGTGCAGATGTCTATGCCAGGTATGGTCACCATACAGTAAACATTGTATAGAGTATAGGAGAATAGCAACTTTCCCAAATTACCCTTTAATGAGAAATAGCTGAATGCTTGCTTTTACCTTTTGTGTTTAGTGGTCAAGTTGGATAATTAATTATTTTAAGAATAAGAATGCTCAGTTCTCATGTGCTGTCACCATTTACGCTATTGAAGTTGAATAATCTTATAGTAAGTCAGAGTTTATCAGCTAAGTTTAAATACATACAAAATTATTAACTTTCAGGCCAAATAAGCTTCTGCAAAGGATTGTCCCAGTAGACAGTATATGTGTTATTTGCCTTGACCTTAAATGCTCAATATCCAAAATCTACCAGCCTGACAAATCTAACTAAAATAAATGAAAATTATTAAGAGCACCACTGAATTATTATTATGGTTAGATATCATAATAACCCTGACAGTTGAAGTTGTACTTTTTCAAATAGGCATTTAAATTGACCCTTCTATTTTAATGCAGATTCTGTCGTTTGAGAAACTACAACATCTTATATATCTCTGGCACTGATGAATATGGAACAGCCACTGAAACTAAGGCTCTGGAGGAAGGGCTAACTCCACAGCAGATATGTGACAAATACAACAAACTTCACTCCGAGATCTATGAATGGTTCAATATAGACTTTGATTATTTTGGGAGGACATCCACTACCCAGCAGACAGAGTAAGTGAGAAAAAGATAAAACAATTATTATTATTATTATTATTATTATTATTATTATTATTATTATTATAAAGATTCAGACATGGAGGTTTAAAATTGTCCAATGACCCAATTACATATACAACACCTAAAACACACTTGATAACCTATATGCTGTCAAAAAGAAGGCTTAAATTTAATAGAATAGAAGTTTGGATGATCAAAATGATTTTATACTTTGTCTTTTGTTTCAGAATTTCTCAGGACATCTTCTGGAAGCTGTACGAGAAGGGTTTTGTGATAACTGATACTGTAGAGCAGCTCCATTGTGCTAAATGTGATAGGTAAGATTTGTCACTGGTTACAAAAAAATATTGGCTAGTTTGGCAGAACTAGGGGCTTCATAGAAATATTGCTGCAGCGAAGGATAATGGATTATACTGGGGCATTGCAAATGTTAGTTTTGGATACATGGTTGTTTAATTTTTCAGTTCTCAGTCACTCTAAGTTCTCAGGCTATCTGCCAAAGAGACATTTGATCTGACTCTTATAACTAAAAGGTGTTAAATAATAAATGATGTCCTGCTTTCAGATTTTTAGCAGACAGGTTCGTTGAGGGCACGTGCCCATTGTGTGCGTACGAGGATGCACGTGGGGACCAGTGTGACAAATGTGGTAAGCTCATTAATGCCACTGAACTCAAGAATCCAAAGTGTAAAGTATGCAAGACCACCCCAGAGATCAAGACATCAGAGCATCTGTTTTTAGACTTACCTAAGGTAGGAAGAAGTTAATGCTGCAGTTTCTATAAAATATTTTAAAATGAAAATTTTGTCATATTTTAGATTGTATAATTATTAACTTAAATATAGATTAATCTTGTATTAAAATGTTCTTTTATATACTTATGCACTGTATATTGTTTGTATTAAGAAATAGTTATCAATATTATTTCTAAAACTAGGAAAATTTAATATGTGGTCTCAATTTTATGTTTCGTTTTTTCTGGCAAAAAATGAAATGCTGTTCAATACAGAAAATGATGGGATAATACTTATTCTATCACAGCTGTTTAATTTTTCCACAGCTTGAACCAACACTGTCCAGTTATCTAGACAAGCAGTTTGAGGACGGTATCTGGACACAGAATGCCAAAGTAATTACCAAGTCCTGGATACGTGATGGTCTAAAGCCACGCTGTATCACACGGGACCTCAAATGGGGAACACCAGTTCCACTGGAAGGTTTCACAGATAAGGTATAATAGGAAAATGGCAATTTTAAATTGGAGTTTTGTGAACTAAAGGCATCTTATTTTATTTTTGGGTGTCCTGTAGCTAACTTAGCTAACTTATTTTTGATAGATAAGCTGAGATTTATAGAGTTGCCTTGAAAAGATCATTGATTGACTCACTTGTAAAATGACATACAATGTAATAGTTAATTTTTATTTTTTAGGTGTTTTATGTATGGTTTGATGCCCCTATAGGCTATATATCCATCATGGCTAACTACACTGACAAGTGGAAACAATGGTGGAAAAATCCACAACAGGTATTGATATTTTTCTTTTTAAAAAAAGGAAAAAATACATTATTTTTAAATTGTAAATCTATCAGTGTTAATGGCTTAGTTTATGCATTAAGTTTGCAAAAATAGTGTTAAGCTTTTTTCTACAGCTGTTCAATTTAGAAAAAGATGATATAATACTAGTTCTACCACTCTTCAGGTCCAGTTGTATAATTTCATGGCCAAGGACAATGTCCCCTTCCACAGTGTAATCTTCCCCTGCACTTTACTAGGTGCTGACGACAACTTCACAATAGTCAACCATCTAAGTGCTTGTGGTAGGTAGTACAATTATTACAGTATCCCTCAGAGCTTGTGGTAGACATAACAGTCAGCTTGCTTGTATATAATATATCAGGTTCACCTTAAAGTTTTCTAAAAAAAATGACATTTAGTATATTTCAGTAATTTTGTCTTTGTTCACTTTCAGAATACCTGAATTATGAAGATGGCAAATTTTCTAAGAGTCGTGGTATTGGTGTATTTGGCAATAATGCCCAGGAGACAGGTGTGCCTGCAGATATCTGGAGGTTTTACCTGCTGTTTATAAGACCAGAGTCACAGGTAACACAAATATGTGTGTTAATATTGATACACAGATATTGGATGAAAATTCAGACCAAATGTTTTGTTACGTATGAAATTTTCTATTTAAATTAAATTGTTAAATTATGATTCTAGATATGAAATTGAGTGTTCAATACCGGGTTGTAGAAGATATTGCTGATTGTAAAATCCACTTCTTGATGATGAGGAGAAAGTCCATATTAGTTTATATTTTAATTTTGATAGTCTGTTTGTATGTTCTATAGTATTTATAGTATAAAATTTTAATTTATCTTTATTTAGGAATTTTTATTAAATTCTGTTTTAATTTTGATAGTCTGTTTGTATGTTCTATAATATTTATAGTATAAAATTTTAATTTATCTTTATTTAGGAATTTCAAGCACCATACTTTCTCTGGCAATGTAACCATATTTTAACTATTTAATTTCATAAAAATAAAAAAGATTAAAAGCAATAAAAATATTTCTTAACATTTTTGTTTGTTTAATGTGTTTATTACATAATTATAGGACAGCACTTTCGCTTGGGAGGATTTTGTTTTGAAGAACAACAGCGAATTGCTCAATAATTTAGGGAATTTCATTAACAGGTGAGATAGATTTTTTTTTAATTGATAGTAAAATAATTGTAAATAATATATAGAAGATAGTGAGTCAGTTGTATTGAATATAAAATAGGTCATGAGTGGGTGGGTGATATGTGAAAGGATGGGTTGTGGAGCAGAATCAGTCATTCAATATGGGGAGTAAACAGAGAGCAATGAAAGATGGGGTAAAATGTATGTTTGCGTGTGTTTGATGGACAGCGAGAGAGAGAGAGAGAGAGATGTGAAGTAGTTTATGAACTAAATGTAATGATTGTAGGAATTGTAACGCTTAAGATTTACTAACATCTTAATCTTCGCTGTGTTTCTCTTGCAGAGCTCTGATGTTTGTAGCCAACTCATTCGGAGGCCAGGTTCAGGAAATAACCCTAACATCTGAAGATGAAGAATTACTGGCGTTAATCACACGGGATCTCAAAGCCTATGTGGACTGCTTGGAGAAAATTAAGTAAGTCTTGGTACAGTTGGTGGTTAGAAGGTTGCTCATTTTAATCATTACCTGATAAGTGTATCCATTGGTCAGATTTGGGTAAATTCTTGATAGTATATTATAATTAGGTTATCTTGACTTAATACCAATGATATATTTGCACCATTTTCCAAAAATGTCAGTTAATTTCTTACTGAAAATGAATATCCCACTCCTCCAGTCCTTCAGAGGTTTATTGTTAGATTAAGATAGAGTTTTTGTTTTGATATAAACTAATATTTCAAGCATTTTCCAACAGAGTCAGTCAATTAATTTGCTGAAAAAAAATGAATACCCCTTTCCTTGGGCTCTTGATACATAGATTGCTAGATTTGAATTGAGGTGAATTTCATTTTTCTTTGTAGACTGCGTGAAGGCATCACCCATATCTTAAATATCTCCAGACTGGGGAACCAGTACATGCAGGCCAACAAACCATGGGAACTAGTCAAGGGAGACGCAGCACAGAAGTGAGCAGAAGTGATAGAGCTTCTAAAATGACAAATCCATGTACAACATTAATTGGCTTAAATGTTTTATAAATGAAAAGATATTTTTCCTCATTGGCACCTAATTTCTTATTAATTTTTGCTTGTTATGTTGTATTTTGGGAGGAAGAAAGAATACCTATACCTCCAAAGCTTGGGGTTTGGGGGTCTTCCAAACCTAAATACAAGGGTGCTTTGCCCATTGTGTACCCCCCCCCCCCCCCCCCAACGCCATATCCACCATTGCTTTCCAATTTTTTTTCAGAATAATATTGATAAGATTACTCAAAACAATTTCACGTGATAAGACTTTCTGTCCCTAGGTCTAGAGCAGGAACAGTTGTCAGTCTGTCAGCCAACATAGCATGCCTGCTGTCAGTACTGCTGCAGCCCTATATGCCTCAGGTTAGTGCCACCATACAGATGCAAGTGAATGCCCCCAAGGAGTGCAACGTCATTACGGAGAAATTTGTGTGCCTCCTCAAACCCGGACACAAGATTGGAACTGTGAGTAGCTTGTGGTGTGGAATTGTGTGTAAATTGCTAATTATTTAAAAAGTTTTCTGTGTTGTTTTGATATAAACATTATACTTTGTGGAGGTGATAATTGCTGGAATTTTTAGGAATTTATTTCAACTCTGTCATGTCTATTTTATGTTGACGTAATCTGTTCCTTTGTGCCATCTTGCATGTTAAGTTTTTTTATGATGTTACAGTGTGTAATGAATGATCTGATTAACTCTATATATTTGCAGCCACAACCTCTGTTCAAAAAGATGGACCCCAAGGAAGCTGAGGCACACAAGAAAAAGTTTGCAGGGCAAGGAGATGACTCTAAAAAGGTAATTATATACGTATAGAGAGAGAGATTTTTTTCCAATATTGGCAAACCAAGCAGTCAAGATATTGGAGAGATAAGTATATTTTCAAACATTGCTGGAACAGAAAATTACACAGAACATGTTTTACTATCATCACACTCACATATCCTTAAAGTTTATCCTAAAAGTACTTCATAGTTTGAGTATTTACAGGTTTACTTTAAAATGTCCAACAGTATTTGTATGGATTGTTTGACATTGACTTCTTTTTGTTTAGCATATTAGTGAGAAATTTACACTGAATGTCCTTTACATGGGCCTCTACACTACTAAAAAATTCCAAAATGTAAAAAACACAGTTACTCTAATATCTAATAATTAAACTTTAGTGACTTGATTATTGTTATCTGCACAGATCACACATGATTATAGGGTATGCTCCATCAGTTTTCTCTTTAGGGCAAAAGGCACATCTCAATTTTTTTTCCAAATACATGTCAAATTTCAAAATGTTTGACTCTTTTATACATGAAAGTTTAGACAATCTCTGATATTTTTAATTTCAGTTTTTACCTTTATGTTCAACAGTTTTATATCTGTCATGAGAGTAACTCAGAAATTAGAAAGCCTTGTGCCCAATGTCAGTTGTAGCCATCATTTTCACTTATTATCTCACATCAAACAGTTTCCTCATGTTCACATATCAGTTTGCTGTAATGTCACTGGCCAAATATTGTAGGCTACTTCTGGTGGTAAGGGTAAAGGTCCAGCAGCAGCTGTAGCAGCTAATCCTGCTGAGGCAGAGCGACTGACAGCAGAGGTAGCAAAGCAGGTAAATGTGGCACAGACCTTACTTTTGCAAATCGTCCAAATTGAATCCATTGAATTCAAATATAGTTAATATTTTTAACTATTCAGAATTCAAGGCAGGAAGTTATGAAATTAAGCAATTAGTTTGGCATAGATATACCTTTTTAGATTACTGACACAGCTTTGAACTATTGCATTATTTCTGTCTGTTCTTCAAAGTATTTCATTGGTATTAACATTACTTATGAAGTACGCACAATTTGCAGCAATAGGGGTTTAATGTTATTAGCCTTAAAACTTTAACTTAAATACTTGCTGACATCAGAAACAAATTTGAGTACATTATTATTATTATTATTAGGGTGATGCTGTTCGTCAGTTGAAGGCCAGCAAGGCAGACAAGACCACCATAGATGCTGCAGTTGCTGTGTTGCTGGATTTGAAAAAACAGTTGTCTGCAGCTCAGGGGCAGAATTCCCATGGTCATAGTAATACTGCTGACCCGGCGGCGGCAGAGAGGCTGACAGCAGAGGTGACAAAACAGGTCAGTGTCTGCCATTCAAGACTGTATCTTATTTGTGCTTTCCCTGTTTAAATCTGTTTTGTGTCAATAATTAATTCCACGTGGGTTAGATGCTGGTGATTCAAAGTGAAGATTATTCATACAATCATTTGTTGCCTCAAAGGACAGAAATTGCCATTTCTTCTGGGATCATTTAGCTAAAGATCTCCAAAATTGGTTCATAGATAATATAAGTGTCAGAAATCGTTGTCGCTGTGTAAAGGTCTAGGGCACGTAATATACCATCAACCCAAGATTTACCGAGGCCAATTTTCTTTGGGCCAAATTTTTTCAAGATGCATGTATAATAATTATATTGATAATCTTTATTGATTCTGTCAGTTTTTACAAAGTCTGTGGCCTAATAATTTACACAATACCCTTATGACATATGCTAATCTTAAAAGAAGATCTATTTTCATATGAGTACTTGTTACCCAGCAAATGTCAAAGTTTTCTCTTATTTGTTCAATTAATCTAGGGTGACGTTGTCCGTCAACTGAAGGCCAGCAAGGCAGACAAATCCTCCATTGATGAAGCAGTAGCAGTATTGCTGGATTTGAAAAAGCAATTAGCGCTAGCACAGGGGCAAAACCCAACGGATGTGCAAGGAAGTGGCAAGAAAAAGGGCAAGAAGAAGTGAAAGAGAGGTGACAGCAGTGGGAACGAGGCAAGGCGAAATGCATGGAACTGACATGACGAGCAAAAGAGTCTGCTGTGCAAATTGCAGACCGTAGGAAAAATTTGCGTTTAAAAATGATCGAGTTCCAACACGAGGTGGAAGAAAATTTCGTATATTTTAGCGATAATTAGTTTCAAGAATGAAACGACAAATAATTTTTTTATACATTAATGTTTATTCATTTTGCCTATGGTGGTGTTTTTGGTGTCTTTTTACCAGCATTGTTTTTTCCCTTACTTTTGTGCATATTCATCTATGTACGTCTGTATAAACATAATCCAAATTATAAGAACCCACCGATGGAGACGATTCTTGAGTCATGTTCTCTGACGTTTTGCTAGAACTGGAAAACTGTCGAGTTCCTCATAAAGATTTTTGATAATTCCAAATGCTGTCTCTTTAACTAATTTAAAGACAGTTTGAGAAATAAATCGCCAATGAAGAAATGTGGTTTGTTTCGTTTGTTGCCTCAGCCGTCAAAAAAAAAAAAAAAAAAAAAAAAAAATTGGTGTGAAAACGAATGCAGCACACAATAAGTGGACCCCTAGTGCACGTCTTATTTTCACGATTTTACTGAGGTATCGTGGCTGGTCATGGTGCTCTTGGTTTCCTCCTTTCTGTTTAATTTAGAAACGAATCCGTGTTTTTCCATAGCGACACACTTCAGTCATCCCCGTTGTGACGTGGTTGAGGGTCCGCTGAGATAGTCGTTAGTCAACGTTGCAATACGGGCAAAAACAGACCAAGGTAATTCCTTATCAAAAAACTTTTCATCGCACAACTTAAAATTTCAATTTAATTTTTTTCCTCAATTATGGCTTCATGGTATGATATTCTTAGATTACACATACGCAGAAGCGGTTGACCCCCCCCCCCCCCCCCACACACACACCAATGAACAGGGATGGAAGTAGGGATATCGACCTGATATCTATACCAGAGTTTTGAACTCTTTGCCACTTACTTGTACCAGTCAATTAGGGCCCACGAGGGAGATTAATTTTAGATTTTCAGCGAACTTCATTGTCTTTGTTCAGTGATAGTGAAATCATACACGGTATGTGTAAAGGTTGCACGAACTGTTTTCCACAAAAGAGCATTGGACCGAAAATAACTTTTTGACCAAACTTTTTAGTCTTCTTTAAATTCCCCGCTTGTTTAACAAGAGAAAGGAAATGGCTGCAATTGTTACTTTATTTGGTGGTCATCCGTGGGTTTATCGTGAAAAGAACACGACTTTTAAGTTTTTAATTTCATATTTGAGATCAGCTTATCAGCTTATGGATAACCCCCCCCCCCCCCCCGTGCGGCAAAGCGGTGTCAGCACGCAAAGACGGACGCGTAAAGGATGTTCACCTTTTTCTTACAATATGATAGGAGCTGCCAGTCCGATAACATATCTCTATGAAGGACGTGGCTATTTGAGACCTACCAAATAATTCGAGTATTTTGGCTACTCGTATAATTTCTGTCTCAGGGGAGGGAGAAGAAAAACCACATTGCCCCGGGTGACAGTGTAACGTGCAATTGTAGATGCTAAATTATAGTTTTCATGCTTGTCATATTTTTGACACTTGTTAACAAAACCATAATAATGACAAGGTACAAAAATAATGGGTTGTACTGTACAGAACACTTTCACCCGTTTTCTTAACTGACTTGGGTCCCAAGGCACGACATAGCACCGATTGTTCCTTTTACGACAAATACTGACTACTAAAAGCTTTAAATTTATTATTTTTTCTGGTTGCGTCGTGTCTCTTAATAAATAGGTTTATCCTACTTTTAAACCACTAATAAAGCTGTTTAAAATGTCCTGATAATAACAAATGGATATATGCATGCGCGTTTTTATTTTTGTTGCAAATATATAGACATAAGTTTAGAGTGTATTTCTAAATATTTATCAAGCTTCATATTTAATTGTGCAGAACGTTTTTTGTGAACATGCAGCTGGGGCATTTCACAGAAGACCGATAGTTGGGCCTCTTACTTTGAAATAACGTTAACGTGAAGTGTTCAATGCGCATTTTTCCAAATCGATATAATGATTTTGGCGTATAGTTCCATTATCCATAACATATGAAACGAAATGTTCGTGTATTTATCAGAATCGCAATCTTAACAACCGTTTGAATCGTGACCAATGTTTAGGGAGCATCGTAACACGGATTTACAGGTCGGTTAACTGTTAGGGTGAGTGGGAGTTCCTTTCCTGGCAAACCACACACACTGTTATATGAGCCTGTGTTATGAGTGACATGAATATTCCATTGGATCTGAGTCCCAACAACCGGTCACAGAGAGTGTCCAGGGATTACAGAGGATTATAAAACATACTGACCTTGTCCTCGACGCCCTAGTGTCACCACGACCTTTTTTATAGTAGCCTACATGTGCACGATAGTGTGTGAGTGTGTGTGTGTTTGTTACAAATTCAATAGCATGACATTTCAATGGTATACCTGTCGCTCCTCCATGATCATTGATAAAGAAGAAAAAGGTACTTTAGATGCGTATGTCGGATTTTAATGTGATGCAGTACACTGTAAAAGAAATGACTTTTAGAAAAGAATGAAATTACTTACTTTGCAATTGTATTGCCTCCAATCAAACTAAAATTACAATTTAAAATTTTGTCTCTTTAGAAATATATGATCAAAGGACCAACAATGACAGTGATAATTCGGGGAATAATTAGGAGGCTAAACTTGCAAAAATCTGAACTCTCGGTTAGAACTGGGGCAATATTTGACTTCGCACTGTGGGAAATGCTTCGGTGCGTTTACGAAGCCAAGAAGTTACGTCCAAGACACACGACCGTTGATCACCCAAGATAGTCGCTGGTGATCACCATTTATTGCCATTTTGAGATATTTAAGGCAATTGAGCACAGAAATGTCTGGTAGCGTATTGGTCATGAAGTTGAACTTTGACAATTGGTCGTCTCAGTTTTTGATAAGATCATTGAAAATGAAGCCACCATCAACCTACAATAATTGGAACAAGATGACAAACATAACGGCTTCTTTTTATGTTTCATGTTCCTTCTTTTTAGCAATCTGAAGTACGGAAAAAGTTAAGGAACACTTTTCTGAAGTCGCCCATGAAACTGATATCCCTTGTGTTGCATTTTTTAAACAAAAAATAAATGAAAGCATCTGATATACAAAACAAATTCGCTGAAAATAGGAGTTGGCATTGGAAACTCGCTCGCGACAAGGGTCTCGAGCCTCGGCACTATGTATTTTAATGTATCCCTCTCATTCGGGGGAGTAAAAACCCTTCATGAGGCTTGTGACCAATAAATAGTTATAATTGTAAAATTTATGATCACGATCTTGTACGATTGGCGCATTTTTTCTCTCTACACAACGTTTGACCAAGGAATTAAAGAAAGCGAAGTAACGCATGTCAAATCAATCTCCAAGATGAAGACAGAAACCTTGATAGGGAGCCCCCCCCCCCCCCCCCCCCCCCCCCCCCACCCCCCCCCCCCCCCCCC